GAGGACACGGTGGAACACACGGTGGGAGAATGCCCTTCGTGGGCTGAGCACCGCCGTGTCCTCAGGGAAGTGATCGGCGATGGCGACCTCTCGCGTCCGGGCCTAGTGCAGGCCATGATGCGGAGCGAGGGGGATTGGGATGCCGTCTCCTCCTTTTGCGAAGCAGTCATGCTAGCTAAGGAGGAGGCGGGACGCGTGAGGCAGCGAAGCGCTGCCTCCTCGCAACCCAGCCATCGCGAAGGACACACCGGGCGTCGGGGATCGCGGGACGATCTCCGGCCACCGTAAGCGCGGGCCTGCGGACGGCGAGCATGGGTGGCTCCCCGTCCGACCAGAAACAGACCCGAGCGTACGGCGCGTCGCGTTCCGCGCGCGCCTCAAAGAGCCATCAGACCACCACAGATGGGGCCCAATAGGGCCGATGCCGATTCGGAGTCGCGGAGAACCTAACGGGTAACCGGGGCTCCGGCTCGACGTGCAGGAGAAGGAACGGGGTGGTTTTTAGTCAGTAAGAGTCTGACACTCTCTCCCGCCTCACCCAGGCGGGGGCAGTCATTCGATGATTTCCCCCCTTAAAAAAAAAAAAAAAAAAAAAAAAAGTACTATATAAACTTTAGTTTAATTGTTAAAGATATTATGTAAAGTGCTTAGCAACGTATAGTTTGTTGTCTCAGTGTTTATTTTGACTCGTTTTCGTAGATTCAGGGTCACAGTAGTTGCAGTTGTTCAAATTCAATTTAAATTTTTGATGTGAACTAGTCAAATTCAAAATTTTATATTCTTTTATTCACATTTAAATAGAGTTATTACTTTTGATGGTTTTTATGTTACGTTCTTTATTATTGTAGTCTATTTAGCCTGCTTAGGGCATGTGAAGTTAGGTATGTACATTAAAAAAAGGAAAGGAATTGTTGTAGAATAGTTTCCGGGCGTGCTATTATTTTTCATTCGTGTAGGAATATATTCATTAAAATTTTCCAATGTCCTATTCGCCTTACAATAAGAGCTATGTTTTTCTTTATGTAAATAGAACTAGCTTCTGCCCGCGACTTCGTACGCGTAATCCCATTTTTTCCCGTCCCCGTTCGTGATTTTCGGTAAAAAGTAAAAAAAAAAATGTTAGTTAAAAGTATCATATGTCGGTCTCCTGGCTCTAAGCTACCTCCCTACCAATTTTCAGCCAAATCTGTTCTGCCGTTCTTGAGTTATTAGTGGTGTAACTAACACGACTTTCTTTATAAGTATATATAGATAATAGATAATATAATTAGAGCTATTTTCACCTTTCATATTATCTAGCATCCTATTACATGAGACACAACATAACTGGTGATATGTGTTTGTTACATTGTGTATTGATACGTCTGGATACCCCTTCGGGGATGAAAACCCTGACGTTATTTTACTTTATGTCAACAAACTAGCTTCTACCACCGGCTTCAACCGCGTTCCCGTGGCAGTATGAACAATATCTAAACTTGTTCCAAATTTCGTCACAATCCCTTCAGCTGTTTAGGCGTGATTGATTACCAAACATACGCAAACTTAGAAATTTTCGCATGTATAAAACTAGTACGATAATATGGTTGAAATCGTCAGCAGTCCATAGGAACCCAATACGTTATCATTGATAAGGCTTGCCTTATCTACAAACCAAACCCATTTCTTAATTTTCTGTTAGATTTAGGATTATTTTCAGTGATTAGAGGATTTTTTTGATTTGGTTATTACTTAAGAGGTCGTTGCTACTAAAGGAGGCTTTGCCCGCGTTGCTGTAGGATAAAAAGTAGCCTATGTGTATTATAGACCGTAAACTACCCCTATTCCATATATCATCCCGATTCCTTCAGTCGTTGTGACCTTTTTTTATGGCATAAGCCGGTAAACGAGCAGACGGATCACCTGATGGTAAGCAATCGGTGTCGCCACGGAAAAGCGAATTATCTATTCTGTTCAATCAAATAAAGAACGGGTTGCAAACTTGAAAATATACGTCACAGAAAAATTTCCAATCGGTGCGCGTTTCTCGTACACCCGTGTGTACAATTGCGCGATGGGCACTCAACTCTCTCGTACACCCGTGTGTACGAGAAACACGCGAGAGGATAAAAACGCGTGTTGTGTTTGTTATGCGCTAAAACATTAAAAAAACATGTTTTGATCTCGAAAAGAATGTGGATGGAAAAATGTTTGATAATTAAATAATACTCATGAATTTATTATTACTAGTTTGTCGGTAGCGGCTTTGCCCAACTCGATTTTTTTTTTATGAGTTAAATAGGTAAACGAACCGACGGATCACCTGATGGTAAGGTGGTCCCCAATGGTCCCCAATCCCCGAATCCCCAACAATATCCTCAAACTCCTAATCCTTAAAAGGCTGGTAATGCACTTGTAACGCCTCTGGTGTTCCAGATGTCCATGGGTGACGCCGATTGCTTACCATCAGGTGATTCGTTATGCCACAAAAAAGAGTTATCAAAATCGGTCCCGTAGTAGTGAAATTACTAAATAATCAATCAATAAAAATAACATTAACATAACATCATTTATCCCCGAAGGGGTACACACAGAGATGTGCACATTACGGCGCTTAATGCCACTGTATAATGTAACACTTACTTTTCACTATTGATATTATGAGTCCCATGTAATTGGGGGTGAGCCTATTGCCATATACCGGGCACAATTCCAGCCTCTGTGCTACTACAATCAATGAAATAGTACCTCTTAATCATAGTATTTGCTACTTCCTCGTGGCTTTACCGACTGCTGAGCTCCTATAGATTAATCGTAACATAATATTTTATCCAACCATCTTCCTCTATAATTGGTCTTTCCAACGAAACAACAATTATTCAATTCAGACTAGTAATTCCGGAGATTAGTGCTCTCAAACAAATAAACACACCATCTGTTCGATTTTAATTATATATTACTCGCTGTTGCTCGTGACTTCGTCCTCGTAGGATATGAATTTTAGAACATAACACTTTTTGTTTCGGTTTTCGAAAATAAAAGTATCCTATGTTACTCTTTAGTACATCAGCTACGTGGCAAATGGGTAGTTTTCTGGATCAAAAATAAATAATTTTGATTTTCAAATCCAATTAAATATTGAAAAATAGTTACCACTTTCATTCATTACTTAATTTTCGATTTATTCTAGCATTTTTTTAAAGATATAAGTGTGCTATTTGACGCGAAAATATGATGACGTATTAAGATGGTATTTCGTACAAAATCCATAGAACAGTATCGTTTTTGACGTTTCTATAAAAGTATTGAATTTGACTAGTTGTCAACTACCGTATTAAAGTCTTACAAAATCAGTCCAGCCATTCCAGAGATTAGTCAGTTCAAACAAACATACAGACAGACAGACAAAATTTTTAAAAATTGTTATTTTGGTATGTGTATCGTGTGTGTTCATATTCATATGCATGCTTGTAGTAAAAAGCGGTTATATTACATTACAAACAGACACTTCAATTTTATTTATCTGTATAGAATATAGAAGTATAGATTTTTATTATTATGTCAAGGCCATACAATATGAGCTCTTTATATACATTTTTTAATTAAAATCTTGAATGCCTGCATACTTTAATAGTTTATTTTTAAATCGATTGGCTAGAGAACTAATTAACTTTTAATATTTTTGAATTAAAATGTTTTATTTAGCTTAAATATGAGTCTGATTCTGATTATTATGATTGAAATTTAAATAACAATATTAGCCATGCTTCGGCTAGGCGGGAAGAAACGCCCGGGTGTCATCACTGTGATGACCACCCGGAGGACACGGTGGAGCATACGGTGGCGATGTGCTCTGTCTGGGCTAGGCACCGCCGTGTCCTCAGGAATGTGATCGGCGACGGCGACCTCTCGCGTCCGGCTTTGGTTCAGGCCATGGTGCGGAGCGAGGGGGACTGGGATGCCGTCTCCTCCTTCTGCGAAGCAGTCATGCTAGTAGCTAAAGAGGAGGTGAGGCGCGTGAGGGAACAAACCTCCTCACGCCGCAACCGTCGCGGAAGACACTCCGGGCGTCGGAGATCGCGTGACGATCTCCGACCATCATAAGTGCGGGTCTGAGGACGGTGAGCACGGGTAACTCGCCGCCCGACCGGCGGCGGGGTACCCCCGATACGGCGGGTCGCGTTCCGCGCCCGCCTCAAAGAGTCATCAGATCCCCACAGATGGGGACCAGTGTGATGCAAAGGATTATTAAAAAGAAAATTCTAATATATATTTGTCTGTTCACATCAAAACGGCAGAAGATATCCGGATGTAGTTTAGAACAGGGGGATATTATGGTTTGGTTATTTTCACCCCACGAGACCGCGAGCGAAACGGCTAGCTCAAGCTAGTATTATATAAAAGATAAACAACAATGTAAGGCATATCTGCTTTTCTCACATGTAGGTCACCTCTCCTTATAATCTTAGTATATATTATAAATTACATAATATAAACAAAGATAATGTCTGTCATACATAACAGTTTATATAATAACATATTTTTATTTAAAAGCTTAACGTGACATGTAATATCCGAATAGTTTTAAAAAACTCGACTAACTGTTTTAGATTTTAAATTGTCGAGTCTGTATTTATCTATGTATGGTGTTTGGTAATTGATTCGTGATAAGAAATTCATTAGATTGGATTAAAAAGATAACTGAAAATGTGTATTAATTACACCTGTATTTAGCACTTGAAGGAAATAATAGAAATTACGTAAACATCGCCACACTGTCTTGAAACTTCCACTTTAAAAAAATATGTACACTACAACGAAAATTAAGTAACTACACGAATCCTCAGTCTTTATACTATCTCTCTACCAAAATTCATGACAATCGACTCAGCCATTTCAACAAAACATGCCTAAAAACCAAACATACGTTTTCGCTTAATCTCCCTCAGTAGCGACACACGTAAGTAGGTAAAACGCTCGTCCATTTAGCGACGAGTTTCGAAATTTCTGATACCATTATCACATAACAAAAAGATAAATAATTTTCCAATTATATTTGTACACGTACGAGTGATAAATCTTATACATTGATACAGTTTATCTAAAGAAGTCAGACCAGACGGTGAGTGTCTCCTGTCTTTATTTTAAACTCTAAATAAATACGATTTTTTAAGTAAATTTTTGAGAATTTTGACTTTTCGGTCTGGCCATCGCCTGCTTTTGTAATATCTAGTTCAAGTTTTGGTAATTTTTTGCAGTTTTTAAAGACATATTTTCTAGTCTTGTTATTAGAATTAAAATAGGTTTTGTTTACAAAATTTTAAATCTGCACTTCTGGGGGAAAACAAATCAAAAAGTCTATACCAAGTTCGAAATAAAGTCAAACGCAGCATTTCAAACAAAATAAAAACTTTCTTTACTTCAAATTTTGTGTAACTGTGTAAATGACTTCCAAGTCCATATTAAACTAAATTCTCCAAAGAAATCCTTTGTCGCTCCACGAAGAATATGACCCCAAATCGGCGCCTATCGCCAGACCGATGCGCCAGAATTCTCAAAATAAATTCAACTGTATTTTTGGACGTCAATAGCAGAGCGCAGCGTCGCTCTTAATGCATCTCTATTATCTAAGATGCACTCGTTATAAACATTTAAAATTCACACCAGAAACGCAAAATGGCTGATCAGGAAGACTTAGAACAAGCACAGGACCCAGGAATGTCCATCAGCAAAATGATTGGCGATAAGCTAACAGAATCGATTCAAAACATGGACGTATTTAGCACGCTACAAAAAATGGTCTCAATGGAGCCTGGCGATCAAGAATCAGAAGGCATACAGAATAAATTAAAAGGAGTTCTGGAGAAGTTTAGAGATATGAATCCGGAAGAGAAAAGAGAGTTTGCTAAGCAGATAAAAGAGGGTCTTGCGAGCAAATTGAACATGAGGTTGAAGGATAACGCCATGTTGGCTGGTGTTGAAGATGCTATCCGAAGTGCAGTGATGACAAAGCTCTATATGGTAGCTGCTGCAGTGCTTATCTTCGTGCTAGTTCTAGGTATGTTTGGTATAGGTCGTTTTGAAGTTAGTGCGAAAATTGCGGTTGAAAATGACAATGTTTCGATAGTGATAAATTGGTTGTTGATATTAAAACTTAATCAAATCAATTTGAGGGAGTTTTCATGTGATGAATATGTTGATTTACGTTTATAGTTTTGAGCTGTTTATTCTAGATTTGATTAAATAAAATAGATGTCTTATTAATAGAGGTGTAGCTTGTAGAACATATAATATTCTTGTTGATATTTTGAACAAAATTTTGATACTGATGGTGACAGTTTGAAGGCTGAGGATAGACAACGGCTATATATTTGACTAAAAATCGCGGGTTACTCATGTGAATATACTGAGAAAAGTGCTACTAGTTTCTATATTTTTGATAATTACACCCATAAAACTAAAAGTTATGAATGAAGTTGTTGATAAACTATTATAGACGTAATCGATTATTTATCCTTCTCATTAAAACCACGTAACCTTTTTGGCCAACTATGTAAATATAACAAAACAAGTTTTAATGAAATATTTTCGATAATTCCCTCCATAGAGACGTCATTTTATCGCTTTTGATACAACAGATAACATCTAAATTACAAGACTTATCGTATTTTGACACAGACTCCCGTAGTAATTAGGTAACATTGAAATTTGTGGGTTTTCTAAGCTGTAGATTAAATTAAATCGTGTTTGATATTAGTATATTAATAGTTATGTTTTACATCTTAAATATTAGTATGAATTTATTTGTTTTTTAACTCGTCGAGTACCGGTTTTATAGACACAATTAAAGAACAATAGGTCGCGGTCACCGGTGACCACTTGGTGTTTGACAGTTTAACTGCCTTGTTGGTCGAGTGATCGCTAGGGCGACCGCTGAGCAAGACATTTCGGATTTAACACCTCGAACGTCCTTATGAGCACCCGGTGGATCATAAGAAAAATGCTCCATGCTGTTTTCTCTTTTATAAAATCTATTATTAATGTTTTGTTTTTATTTTAACTGTATTTTTTATTTCTATTGTAATGATCCTTGATTTCGTGTGCCAATGGCCAAATAAATGCAGTTTCTTGCATGCATAAGGATAAGGAAATGCATAAGGAACGCGGATGCTCGACGGGTTAATTCGGAACAATTATAAGGGCAATTTTTCGGTTTTTCGAAAATTGTAGTAGTACATTAAGACTGGATATGTGCCCGGTATATTGTAGCCAACCCTCTTTTATATAAAACTAATATAACTAGTGAAAAGAGGGTTACACTTTATTTTTTCATGGCATAAGCCGGTAAACGATCAGACAGTACACCTGATGGTAAGCAATCGGCTTCGCCCATGGACTCCCAGAACACCAGAAGCGTTACAAGTGCGTTACCGGTATTTTGGGGATTAGGAATTAAAGGACTGTTGAGGATTCAGGTATTGGGGAGATTGGGGAGGGGGGGGGTGTAATTAGACCTCTGATAACCTCACTTATAAGACGTCAAACAACGCAAGCGTTATTTCACGTCGGTTAAGATATCGTTGATTTCGATAGTCATAAGGGCGACTGTTCTCGTGCGAACTCAAAGTACTCGGTTCTATCATATTTTTGTTGCCATTGCGACTGTTATTTATTTTTGTTATGTTAACAGCAGATTCACATACTTAATTTTATGCTTCTTTATTCTTACCTATTATTTAAAACCGCTGACGCATATAAATACATCACTACATAGTATAAAACAAAGTCGCTATCTGTCCTAATGTATCCTTAGATCTTTAAAACTACGCAACGGATTTTGATGCGGTTTTTTTTAATAGATAGAGTGATTCTTAAGGAATGTTTATATGTATAATACATGCATATTACACGCGTGCGAAGCCGGGGCGGGTCGCTAGTATTTATAAGTTAGAGCTGTCTATCTGCACTATAGCTCCTTACTGTTAAACGAATAGATGAAAATAAGTGCGATTTATGTAACATAGAGAAACTTATGTTCTTATTGCAATTTAGTTGTAAGTAGTTGAAATAGAATTTAGGTACTTTTATAAATAAGTAATTTTCTCGAGATGTTATATTGACGGTTGACTTCCGAGTGATCATATGATGTAATCAGTTGTCTCATCTGAGTACCTAGCACGAATAACTATCGCATTCGTAACGTAATAGTATCGAGCGCGTTCGGCGCTCTGATTGGCCGGCTCAAGTGAACCAACCAATCAGAACGCTTAACTCGCTCGATACTGTTACGATACGAATGCGATAGTTATTCGTGCTTGGCCCTCTGATCACAACCTTCTAGGTTCGAAACCTGGCATTGTTGGGTTCAGCTCACATACAGAACAATTGTTCTCGATTTCAATTTTTGTCTGACTGCCTCGTTGGCCTAGTGGTCGTAACTGCGACTGCCGGGCAAGGGGTCTCGGGTTCGATTCCCGGGTCGGACAAAGTATTACTGAGTTTTTTTTAAATATTCTCAGTAGTAGCACAGAGTCTTGAATTGTGCCCGGTATATGGCAATAGGCTCACCCCCTATTAAATGGTACTCATAACATAAATAGTGAAAAAGTGGGTGTTACATTGTACAGTGGTATAATGTGCACCTCTGCCTACCCCTTAGGGGATAAAAAAGCGTTATGTTATGTTCAATTTTTGTCCTGGATCTAATTTGATTATGAAATTATGTGTTTATGCACCCATGTCACAGGGGAAAATACTAATATGGAGCAGAATTAACTAAAAATTGTGGCTTACTCACGTAAAAATATTGAGAAAAGCTCTATCTACTAGTTTCGAACCCGTCTGTAGCTCGATACTAGTAGAGCTCTTCTCAGTATTTTCTCGTGAGTAACCCGCGATTTTTAGTATTTTTTTTTATAATTATCTAACATCAACTAACATTAAATTTTCTCTATATTCCAGTATTCTTCGGCTACAAACTATACAAATCTATAAAGGAGAAGGAGAAGAAGCGAGAAGAGAAGAAGAAAGCGAAGCAAATGAAGAAAAAGAAGTGATTTTGACACACAAACGGAGTGAGGCTTTCTAAGCGTTGTGTTAGGAAAATTATGTAAAAACTCTTAATTTATTAATATTCTATAACATCATCACGCCTTTTATCCCCGAAGGGGTAGGCAGAGGTGCACATTACACTTAATGCCACAGTACAATGTAACACCCACTTATCACTATTTATGTTATGAGTCCCAAGTAATAGGGGGTGAGCCTATTGCCATATACCGGGCGCAATCTAGGTCTCGGGTTCGATTCCCGGGTCGGGCAAAGTGTTACTGGGTTTTTAAAAATTCTCAGTAGTAGCACGGAGTCTGGAATACGGTATTTCACAACTAGCCAAATTCAATACTTTACGATATTGTACGAACAAGTAACTTATGACGTCATCATATTTTCGAGTCAACTATTGAATGTTAATTGTGCCCGGTATATGGCAATAGGCTCACCCCCTATTACATGGAACTCATAACATAAATAGTGAAATGTGGGTGTTACATTGTACATGTGTGTTCACCTCTGTCTACGACTTGGACGATTAAAGGTTGACATTTTGTTTTATTTATTATTGTTATAAAAGACTTTTCTTTTATTTTCTGTCTTTTATTATCTTCTTTAAAGTTATCTTCTTTTTTGTTCTTCTTTCTTCAGCTGAGCGATTAATTTAGTATTTAAATGATTTTTTATACGAGTCGCGTAGTAATCGAAGTTTTTTCGTGTAATATGCATAATAATTAATATATACCGATTTAAAGTAGATACGAAATACATAATAATAACAATAATATCCATTTTTTGTCAAATCTCCGTGTTTTAATACATACTCGTCATATAATCGTAATACATAGGTTAGTAGTATAATCTTCATGTTTTATCAGTAGGTAAATATCTTAAATGTTAGCCATAACGTGAATTTAAACAAATACGTAATTTTCCGAACGCAACTCTTGACGACTGATTAAAAAAATTAAGATTTAAAACCTTTTTTTATTTATTAATTCCTGTTGTATTAGTGTCGGATATGGTAACACTTATATTGTGAGCTGGCAACCCTAGATCGCACAAATACGAATACAATAATGTTTCGTGTCAATAAATATTCCGGTCTATATTTTTGACTAATAATGGCCTAAAAAGGGTTTATATTTGACCATGTTTTAACGAACGGAATATTTGTTATAAGATGCCAAAATAAAAATGCTCAAAGAATTTTAAAAGCTGTGGGTTGCAAGCGAAACTTTGTAGGAATTTTAATATTGCAACATTTATATGTAAACTTAATCTATGTGAATATATATCTGTGTGGGGATCGAATTTGGCTTTTAATTTCTTTAGTAAACGCAGGTTTTGAAAGCTAAAGCATTATTATGTTTTCCGACTTACTCACGTAATTATTTGACGAGGAACTCGACTAGTTTCAAGCTATGCTAGAAGCTCATTCATGAGCAGTATCCGCGACCCGCGACGCGGCGACTGTCGCGCTGCTACATGAGTAAGCCGAAAAACATATAATAATTAATTTAGTATGTATCAAGTAACTGGCAAAAATATTGTTTAATATTAACACATCTTCCTGTGGTGTTCATTTGTCTTTATTGCTAAGGTGATAAGAGTCAAAATCGATTAGGTTTTCTGTATTTTATTAAAAATTAGTCAGAGATTATTTTTTAATTCAAGGAATACCAATTTTGTCGGTTGTCAATGCATTTGTCTTGGATACCTTTTGAAAATTAATGATGTACGATACCTATCTAATAATATTTTTATTTAACGAAGCTAATTTTCTATTGCACAAACAAATCATATACTCCACTGGCTCCATCTGGTGGTTGTAGTTAAAAACTTTTAGCATTTGCATTAACGATACCCCCCGGCCCCCCACATGGATGTTATTTTATTGAATGTATGTAGTTTTCAAAATACGCAATGTAAAAGCGTAGTATAATTAATATTTATGTTTTAAAATGCATCTCTGGAACATTCCATAGAAATTCTTGTACAATGTTAATTATTATTTTTAATATAAAAAAGTTGTTGATTTGTCAATTAATTATGATTTTAATATTCGCTGGACTTGTGTTGAATACAGTTTATTTTTTACATGTGTATTCTGGTGTTTTATTTTTACCCTAAATATTTATTTATTTATTTACACTTTTTGTAGATATACAAAGGCGGACTTAATGCCTAGTGGCATTCTCTAACAGTCAACCTAGTAACCTGTAAATATGTTGTTTTAAAAAACAGAGGACGTTGAAAAAAGAGTACCTATACATAATGTCACTTAGAAACTATTAAAACACCAAAATCTCAGTGGCTTGTGTGTGCCTGTATAAAGGGTTACCACGTTAACACTAGACTTAAGAAAATAACAAATATCCTTCGTGTCCAGGTGCCACAGTCGTTGTTTCAGTTGGATTCAGCAACCGTTCTCCTGCGACCAATTCGCCACTGGACTGTTCGTCGACAGGACGATTCATTTAAACTGTCAAACACCAAGCGGTCACCGGTGACCGCGACCTATTGTTCTTTAATTGTGTCTATAAAACCGGTACTCGACGAGTTAATTCCGTGTGCCCATCAGGATCTGTCAGCTATGGACATTTCACCGACAGAACCTTTCATATGCGTCACTTTCGACGACAGCCCTTTTCACCTATGTACTGTTTCACCGACACCAAGATAAACCTAACCATAGCTCTTTTAGCTACAGACTGTTCATCTATGACGGTGAAATCGCCGTCAATCTTATGACAAGCAATATTTTAAAAAATGCACATATCTGTCTATAGCTTTTATCTTTCGTCTATAGGTTATGTATTCGGAGTTGCGGAGAATCTAATGGGTTACCCAGGATCCGGCTCGAAGCGCAAGAGAAGGAACGGGGTGGTTTTTAGTTAGTAAGAGTCTGACACTCCCTCCCGCCTCTCCCAAGCGGGAGCAGTCATTCGATGATGTCCCCCCCCTTAAAAAAACTACCTACTATAAATGCCAGTCAATCTAACAGACGTTTTCATCTAGCCCTTATTCTGTTCATCTTACGCCTTCAGTGCAACACCGTGGGTGCAAAGGCACAAAGAAAATGGTACATATCTTTAGAACTAGCTATTTGGAGTAAAAGTTGTAGGATCCCTGATGAAGAAGTTACACCAGTTCGAAGATTCATAATTTTCGTACATTTATAGCTTTTTAAAGGTAGGAAACGCAAAATAATGATCGATATTGCTGGAATAAAGAATGAAGCAATTGTGATGATAATACGAAAAGATTTCGCAGTCATTTTTTTTGTTAGCATATCTTCAAATGTCTCCACTTGTTCTAGGGGAAGTAGGAAGGAGACCAGACCGTTACTGACTAAAAACACCTCGTTCCAACTCCTACTCCGTGCCGGGCCCTCGTACCTATATGACGATCTACCCTTGACCTCGGACAGTTGTATTCTTCTAATTATCATTTAATGTTACAATTTCATCCTATGAACCTTATACCGGTAAACTTATGTCTTAATAGTACTGTCCGAAATATTTGGCACGAGGTCAAAGTTAAAGAAAAATAGATTTTTGAGAATTTTAGCTAAACGGTGACTTTTTCGCAAAATGACCCAGTTTAAAATTGTAGATCATAAAATTCTCTACAAAAAATACATCAATAACTTTTTCCTAAAAGCCACCATTTTGGAGATATAACGGCTATAAAACGTTTAATCATATTTGTAATCCTCATGTTTTGCACACGTTTCCGCGCTACTTATGACACAGTATAAAACCATTATAAATATTCTTTATACTATACTTATGAGGTAGTGTTTTTTTCAACGTGGTTTCCCCAAAGTCCAGCCAGGAGGCCTATTCTACGGGTCTGCTGTGATTTTATTTGTTTTAAAACTATTTCAAAATAATATCATGCATTACGGTTGGCAAAAATAACGGCGGCGTAGTAAAAATTTAATACCTAGTTAAAGTTACTCGTTTGATTAATATTTTCTCTTTTTCTTCTTGATCTTCTTCTTCTATTTCACAAGCAGCGCCGTAAATAGGGCGGTGCCAGCGGTGCCCAGGCACAGGGCGCAGACCCTGGAGGGGCGCAGAAATGACCAGACTGTACTATCTAAATCTGTATCGCATTTTTAAACGATCTTGAAACAACAACACATGTCAAACGACTCACTACACATCAGACAAATGTATATCCACCTTAAGTCTTGCTCGCAATATTACATACACAAACAAAAGTACCTATACTATAACTTTGGGCGTCTGTGCCCGCGGCGCCTGCGCCTGCGTAGCCTGCGCCCGCGGGGCAAAACAAAAAAAGGAGAGGCACTCCATCCCGGCAGGTTGGATTTGCAGCAGCGGCGGTGGAACCCGCCCCGCGAGCGGAGGACGGCGGTGGGTGGCAAATCGCTGGTGAGGCGAGGAGAGTCGCCAAGGAGGGCCGTAAGCGCCGCAAGAAGGCGCAGCGGCAGCGACGGCAGCAGTAGCGCAGGGAGAAACGGGCTGCTGCCTTGCTCCTCGCCCCTAGGACCGCGGCTGTAGTAATTACGTCATGGAGGAGGTGGAGACGTACTCCGACCACGGTATATCCGGTTCGACGTCTCCGCCGAGTCCGCGGACCCAGCGGAGTCCCATGTGGCCCGCGTTGGGCGCTGAAACAGCTGGACCGGGAGCTGCTCCTGGAAGCCGCTATCGTGCAGGCCTGGGTGATACCAACGGTCTGACTTGCCGACATTGACGATTAAGCCATGTCCAGGATTTGTGACGTGGCGGTGCCCCGGATCCGATCGAGGCAACAAAAGCGCCAGGTGTACTGGTGGTCGTAAGAGCTGGCAGCTCTACGCAAGGCGTGCACTGCTGCGTGACGCCAGTACACTAGGCACAGCAGGCGCCGCATTCGTCCTCCGAATGCGGAGGCGAGAGAGGCGGAGTTGTACGAGGGATACAGGGCGGCGAAGGCAGTCCTTAAGGCCCGCCGAGAGATGCTGGGGACTCTGAACAGAGACCAGTGGGGACGCCCGTGCCGGATGGTACGCGACAAGCTCCGCGCTTGGGCTTCCCCGCTCACTCAGAGTCTCTGGCCAGAAGTCTTAGAGGAGGTGATTGGCACCCTGTTCCCCCGACTGTGGAGGGGCTTAACCTCTCCGTATAGGACCCCTGCGGTGTCCGATGCGGGCTACAGCGACGACGACGACGACATCGTCTCAGAGGTGACCGAGGCAGAACTGAGAGCGGCGGTGCGTTGGATGGGCGCCAAGAACACCGCTCCAGGACACGACGGCTTGCATGGCAAAGCATGGGTCCTGGCCTCAAAGGCTCTCGGGCCTTAATTAATCGGTCTGCACAGCGCATGCTTGGAG